CAGCCAGGGTCAACCCACCACAATCAGCTAGGGAAATACAGTATGGCCAAAAAAAACCCCACTCCAAACCCCAAGATATGCCTTACTGACCCAATTTCAAAGTGCAGAAAATGAGCAGAGCACATGTCACGGTGGAACAGTGAGGAAAAAGCCACTGAGGTCCTCAGCTCTCCAACTGCATTCTCATTACTAACCCAGGGAGGAAACTCAGAAAGACCCCGTACCGTACCTTCCACAGTGTGATGCAGGAGTCACTGGATGCTGTCACAACCATATCATCTTGCTTGTTAGAATGAAGACCCCAGATTTTATCTTCGTGACCATCTAATGTCTTCACACATTCATTTGTTTTAATTGTCCAGAGTTTTAAGAGACCATCAGAACCGCTTTTGGAAGAGACAGAAACACAACAAAAAGAATCACTGGATAGATCCATTCTCACTCTGCCCCACCTCAAATACCAGATAAACCCATCCCATTCCAATGTCTTTCTAACAGGAGTAGAATTAACCAAAAATGTCCAGAAGGCTTAAGAATTCCAAACCAGTAGTTCCCAGTACTACTATCACCCTTTCTGGAAATTCCTTCTTGGGAAACCCTACTACCTACGTTTCCTCACATGCTCTGGTGGTACTTCCAGTCTGATACACCTCAGCCTTACAGAAAGTAAGGAATGGCAGTTCAGGAGACAAACTGCATCCTTTCCTGCTACTAGCTGGAGGACCAACCCTTTGAGATATCAAGAACTGTTTAGCTCTGGCTGCTTTGCTCTCACCCAAACGCAGTAGGGTGAGGTGGATCCCTAGCTCCACCTAACAATAACATATGTCAGAGCAATGTCACAGCAGCTAACTAGAATCCACAGTGTAACTGAAGAAAAGGAAGTTAAGTTAGCCTCTGGAGAGAGCTTGGCATAAACACAGCATCTTCCTATCAGTCTTTCCAAAATGAAATCCATTGCACAACTCTTCCCTCTTGCTGCTGATACCAGCTAAGAGATTTTGCTTCTTAGTTTTGGCATCTTCCTTTTGACTGCTGGTGTAGGCATTTACCTGCTGAGCAGCTGTGTTCCTCGGCTTACAAAAATGATCTTCAGTACAGAGGCATCATGACCTTCGAAGGTCTGGAAAATAGCAAGGAAGCTCAAAAGTATTAGAGTTGTTCCCAGGCCGTTCAAGAGAGTCCTTTTTCAAGGGCATAATATATACTCCCACAGACCAAAAGGTAAGTTCCAAAAAGCAGCCTTTATCCTCGGGACTTTTCCTGTAGGTTGAAAGGGCCGTACGAAACGACTTGTCCCCACACCATTTTTTCAAACAACCTGCTTGCTTCAACTTGTTGCCCAAGGTCAAATTGCAAATGGTCTGAACAGTGAGGCCAACTGCATAGGCTATTTCCCAAAAGGTTGATTCCCCTGCCACTGCGTGAAGCACCCATTCAGGGAGGCAACACTGCTGGGCAGAATGTGGCACAGAGCAGCAATTGCCTTCTCATCAGCTCAGTGAGACACTACTGCACTGGAAAGATAGCTTTTCTGTGAAGAGTGAATCTGAAATTTAAACTCTTGTGTTTTTCCTTCACGGCCACAGCTGTCAGGCAAAGCCAGCTTCCTTTCAATAGCTTAAAAGTGCTTTTCCCCTATGACCAACCATGCTGCTCATCGGTTAGCTAGAACAGAAAGATCACCTGAGCACTAGGCAGGTGCTCTTGCCCTGGTGCTTTGCATGCAGCTCACACATCCAAGACCCTGGAGAACAAGGGTAGACCCAGATAACTCTTCCTTCAGCACGGCCAGGTTGCTACATTTCAGCTGCGCTAACTAGCACATACTTTCCTAAAGCAGCCTTAATCAATACCCATAACATGCAAGGAGCAGTCCGAGTTCTCGTTACCTTCAGACAGCTGAAGTCCCGAAGACCCCAGAGCTTCAGGGTCCCATCTGCTGAAGAGGTGGCCAAGATCTGATCCACTGGGGAGAACTGCACGCACCAGATTCCACGCTTATGTCCGGTGAAGACACCCAGCAAAGAGCAATCAGAACAGGACCACAGCTTGGCCAGCCGATCCTGTGAGCCTGTGGCAATGAGCTTGTCATTCGGAGAAACCGTCACGCTGTTTATGTCCTGGAGAAGTCACACAAGTACAGAGAGTGCAAAGCAGTTTATGTCTTTGCTTTTGCTGTCGAACAGGCAATAAATGTAGGGTACAACTCAGGAGAGAAGGATTTAAGTACTAAAGGCATGTTCTAATGTCAAGTGGAGCTTTACCTTGTCATGACCCCTCTCAGTCACTTTTGCATGAAGGGTTTCTGGACTGGAGAGCAAGGCTGCTTTTGCCTTGGAAGTGAGCGATTCCGGGATATTCCAGATCTTGATTGTGCAGTCCTGACTGCTGGTCACTATGAAACTTTCCTTCAGTCTGAAAGGAATAAAAAAGTCAAGTGTAAGGAAACAAAACTGTGGCTTCCCTCTGGACAGAAAAAAAAGGCTTCTCTTCCCCTACCGGGATCTACATATATTCAGTCACTCTGCCAGGATGTGAAACAGAGTGCTTTAATGTTTTTCTCAAGATGACTTTCATTTTACTTAGGTGCCTGAGATAGTCTCCAGCAATTCAGACATTAGGAAAAGCAGTGCTAGCTCTCTTCATTTACAAAGGTATACTGCAGCTCTTGAACAGGCAAGCTGGGAGTCCACACTGCTAGGCAGCACAAAGAAAGGAGAAGAGCTGATAAAACAGACATGCTATTCAAGCAAGCACCTTCATGGACACATTCCCTTCACTCCCCAACCCTCCTCTCCAGATCACTCGAGCTTTACCTGGCAACTTATCCAGCTGCTGCTCTTTACGGCAAACAGGAATTAGACTGACAAAGAAATGCAAACTTCACAATTTATGGATAGACAGATGTGCATTCAAAAAAAATCATCCTTCCTTCAAACTCAGAACACCATGACAAGCTGGGACCAAGAATGAGAAACCAAGGCAGGCATCCACCAAAACATTCATCCTGAGGATCAGCAAAGCAGCCATGACTCATGCTCGCAAAAGTAACCCCTTGTCCAATTTTTATTACCTTGAGCAAGAAACAGCTCCTACCCCATGTGCATGACCCAATCCCTGGGCAACACAAGTCACCCTTCCATTTTTGTTCATCCGCCAGACTCGAATGCTTTTGTCCTGTAATGGGAGAGGACAGAAAACCACTGTGCTTTTCTGACAAATGATCAGTTCCCCATGCGTTCACCACATCCGTGAGCCTGACTATTCACTTATTTTCAAGCTCGAACCTTTGCCTGCATTCATCAGAGCAGGTGAGGGCAGACACAGCCAAACACAGTGACCGCAGCCTGGGATTCCAGTGTGGAGGTTTATTTCTGGGTGTATCAAGGCAGTTGGCACCTTTTTTTCCAAACACAAATCTTACACACAGCTCCCCATCAGTTTCACACTAATAACATCTTTAAACTCTAACACAAGAGCAAGATGCTTGGAGAATGAAAGATCTCCTTTCAGGCTAATAAAATACAATCAATCACATTTCCCCAGCAACAACATTAAAAAGGGATAGTGAAAGAACCTTATATTTGGGGGATATAGCAGGCAGGAATTCTGTCTGAACAACAGCCCTTTCTGGATCACCAAAAGAGGAATACAACTCTTCCCATAAAGATCGCTAGAAATGAAGTTTCATTAAACGAAGAAAATGCACACACCTTAGCACAGCTGACAAACATCAGGCCTTTTCTGAAGACATCCAAAGCAAGAATTGTTTCTAAACAGAAGAAAAAACAGCTGGATGCAAAGTAATACTGAAATTAGACAAAAGAAATGCATGAATGAGTCCACTGCTTACTGACTGGGGGACAGGTTTGGGACACGATATATCAACGCTCACTACGGAGCGACTGGCTGCTTACGGCATTGGTGCGAGTCATCACTTGCAGCCACCAAACTGCATTCAGAGCTCACACTTACATACCAATTTAAATTGATCTCTCTGCTAGTGAAAGGGACTGAACTGACAGACCTGGAAAAACAAAACTACTCTTTGCAAATTCAGGACAGCAGAATATATATTTTTCTCCACACAATTCCAAAACTTGTTGTGCTGCTGCTCCAGAGTGAACTCAAGGACTCCAATCTCCACATAAGAGCTGTGAGAGAAGCTGGATAAGGAAATACTTGCATACCTCCCTTCCTCCCACCCATGGCAGAGCTGACCACACACACCTGTGTGGCCATAGAGGATCTGGCAGTGTGATGTTGCCAGTTCAAACACTTTCAGCTGAGGGCTGTTGGTAGCCACAACAATATGAGAATCACCAGGTCCAAGGAACTTCACATCCAGAACCTCATCGTTGTAACCTGCAAGCTGAGGATGGCAGAACAGAAACAGTTTAACAGGGGAAGTCAGCTGGTTAGAGAAGTACAGAATGGCACCATGCTCAGTAAGGCTGCATTACTGTTACCTTTCATCTCATACTGCATGTAAAAAATTGTATTAGACATAACCTGGAGCACGGGAGGGATTTCTAGCTAGGGCTGTTCTGCTTTCCTTTCCCTATGTTTGTATCTGTGCAATATTCCTCTAAACAACCCCACTCATGAAACTGGCTTTCTGGCTTGTACCCAAGGAACAGTTCAAGAACAGGCAGGAGAGGAGGGCACCCCTGGACAATGCTTTCACCAGAAGCAGAGCTGATTCTCGAGTACGGATAAAGGAAGAGGAAAAGGGAGGTTGAGGGTTGTTACCTGCTTCCTGAGCTGAAGAGTGTGAGCATCATAGAAAACAATGTTGTGTTCCACAGACACTGTGACAATCTCATTTCTCTCAGGCACAAGCATGCACTGGGTGAGACTGCGCTCGCTGGCCTCCTCCTTGGATTCAAAAGGCACAGGCTGGGTATACACACAAGCAGCTGTGGCAACCTCCCACACTTTCAGGATGCCTAACAAAAATGATGATACAATTATCTGTCAGACCCACTGTTTTAGACAGTGATTGTCCAAAGAATATAAACCAAACCCTGGCCTAGTCTACTGGAAAAAGCTACACGGCTTTAAGGCAGAACTGTGAAGAGGCCCAATCACAGTGGCACAAAGGGCCACAGAGTTTTTCTTCTTCAGTCCAAATCAAACTTTTTTTACAGTTTGAAAACATACATAGCTCAACCTCCACAGCATGCCTGATCAATCCTGCTCATCCACCACTGTCAGAGGAACACAGGAGAAGGCTCTGTTCTCCAGTCCTCAGAGCTTAGCCCAAGGTTTCTGCCACACAAAGAACACACATCCCAGGAATACTGGCATGCGGTGTCTTAAGTACAGTCCTTCCTGGGCTTCTAAATCTGGCAGCAACGTGCCAGGACACTCACCTTTGCTGCCAGCTGTGACAAAGTGCAACCCTTGTTTCTTCACACCCAGTTGAGAGAAATCTCCCTTATCAGGTAACAAGATGGCAGCTTCCACACTCTGCAAGACAGTCGGCAAACACCAGCTGAGTGTGAGGGACTAGAGTCCCATTTCAGCAACCAGAGCCATGCAACAGCCCGTTAATGCCAACAGACGCACACAAACACCACATGCCACTGCCCCACGCTGCACGGCTACTGAGGACAGGCAGGTACAATGAGAATAAGGTTTTTACACGACTGTCCCTCCTTCCTCCTCCAGCACTGCGGCAGTGGAGGCAGCGGTGGCACGTATTTTCTCAAACTGCCCAAACACGACACAGCAAGCAAGGAGAAAAAAAAAATAAACAGCTTTACACACAGAGTTTGAAGGCCTCTGAGAAGTACAAGGGAGAGAAACCTGACTTCATAATATATAGGAATGTAAAGGGGGAGAGGAAGCATACAAACTATGACCTAGAAACACCAAAGGATCTCAAACAAATAAATGAAATGCAATTTCACCTCGTAGACAGGGACAGTTCGTTTACTTTCTCTGGTTTTCAGGTCCCACACCATGCAGATTTTATCACGGCCAGAACTGCAAGTCAAAAGAGCATTTTCAGTGTTAAATCAACTCAGGCTCTGAGTGCAAATTTGGAATTGCAGGAAGAGGCCCATGTGGAAGAAGGAACCAGCCTTTCACGTGACAGCACAGCTTATTGCCAGAAACACAGAATCAGTCACTCGCTGTACTGAAGCAGAGACTGAACACTTGTAGCAGTCCTTCCCCTCGCAGGACAACCCCCCCCAGGCCCTACAGACACCCAGTCTCTGGCAGGAGGCAGGCTTGAATGGGAGGGATCGGAGAAGCCTCTGCAAGGTTTTACCTAATGAGCGTGTTTCCATCTGCAAAGGCCAGCGAGGTGACAGCACTGAAGTGACCGTCCAGCATAGCAACGCACTTGCTAGAATTCAGGTCCCAGATGCGGATTTTGTAGTCAATTGAGGAGGAGAAGAGTTGCAGACGGGAGATATCAGGGTGGAACTCAACAAGGCTAGACAGAAGGAGATGCACTTGAACAGGATAGGAATCTGGCATGAGCCCAATATTTAAATAAACATATATTCTACACAAAAAGTTTGGCAGGTCAGTTGATATGAATTTATACCAGGACTTTCTTTGTAGGACTTTGTTCCTCTGCCACCCACCAGGAAAATTTACAACAGAACTTTGCCAGTCTTAAGCATTCTTGAAGTGTGTCAGTTAACAAGCACAGGTATTCCATTTAGATCCCAACAAACTTATTGACCAAAGTCTTTCCTCTCTGGGCTAAAGTCAATCAAAGCCCTGCTCACTAGACATCTCAAAAATCAGGAAACAGAAGAGCTCAGAACCCGCTCAGAAAAGGCCTTTATGTTCCATTGACTCAAGACATTTCACATCAATCCCAGTGTCTAAGCATCACACGAACACCAGCGACTGACAAAAATGACTCGTCCTTACTGTACAACTCCTGAAGATCCTTTTAGGTTGTGTGTGCAGTACTGTTTGATCATATCCCAGATCTTAATGGTGCTGTCACAGCCTCCTGGGAAAAGAAGGGCATATAAAAATGAACCACAGAGGAGAGACACACGGCAGGCCCTATGTATCAAAAACTGTAAGATTTCACGGCTTGCAAAGGCAGCAGAAAGAAAAATGAATCCAGTAATCAACCGCCCACACCCAGAGAAGCTCACAGAGCACCTTACATTTTCAGAGAGCTGGGAAAAACCTGACCGCTCAGAGTCAAACCTGACGTACAATTAAGTTACAGGTCACGCCTGCCCTCCTCCAGCTCCAAAAGTCCCTGTTCTACACGAGGATAACTATGCCACACGTTTCATAGATGTCTGATTTTTAATGCCATTTTACTAAGTATATTTTAGACAGAACATTGAAAGGATCCCTTTTTGTCTGTCAAGATGTCAGTTTAAGTAAAACCTCTTCTGATTTCAGGAGATCGTTACCTCAGGCTGTGTCCAGCTGAGCTAAATTATTCAAAAGCAGAAGGGCCACTCAACATCATTCCAGTGAAATAGGACTGTACCTGTGGCTAACAACGTTGACGTAGAGTCAAAGGCCATGCTAGCAACTGGCGCTATGTGCACAGCTTTCCACGTGCGAATGCACTTGTTCTCTCGCCAGTTCCACTGCTTCAGCAACAGGGCTCGGCTCCCTGTCACGAGGATCTATGCAAAAGCAAGGTGAAGAAAAGCATAATTAACTACTAATTAGATTTCAATTTCTTTCGGTGCCCACACACAAAGCACAGAAATGCCAGTTGCTGTGATGCTCTTGAAGCTCAGTCTCTCAGCATTCTTCTGTCTGACTTGAACCCAGAAGGGGAGAGAGATGGAAGCGCCTGACAAGACTGCGGAGATGTCTGGAAACGCAGGGCGCGTCCAGGTGGAACAGCCCTCAACGTTCGCTGGCTTTGTCAGGAGGCCTCACAGAGCAGCACAGAAACCCACAAAGCAAACACATACCTCATCGTCAGGGCTAAGAACAAACGAACTGATGTCCTCCTCCTCATCCTATAAAAACGAAAGGAAAAAAACCCAGTTAAACCCCCTGTGGAGTGACATGCTCCTAGAGCTCCCTTCTGACGCTGAGCACAGCCAGCAGCTCCCAGCTGTGTTTAGGGATGGCACAAATAACATCTGTCTGTGTTTAGAGCAGTTCTCATCCTCCCCTCCACTTCCCACCCTTGGGAGCTTTATAGCAACGGCAAAAGACCCCAGGAGCCTTTGAAGACCCTCAGCAGTTTCATCACCAGTCAGTGAGCAGAGGCTGGATCTCCTCACCTGCTGGAGGCTGTACAGAGCTCCTGTTTCTACATCGATGACATTCAGCTTCGTCCCACAGGGGCAAAACATGAACTTTCCATCCCGGTTTATCTGCAGAAAAGGGAACAGAAATCAGGAGCCTTACAGAACCGGGAGACGGGCTACTCCCAAACCCGCCCCTCGCTGCCTCAGTACCTGGACTCGCCCTCCTTTGTAGAAAGGCTCGATTTTCCTCGACACGGCATAGCTGGAAGGAAAAGAGAGACACGCGCAGACCGGCGGTTAAACTAAAACTGCGGCGGCCCGGTGGCTCCCGAAGGCGAAGCCGCAGGGC